TATATATATATATATATATATATATATATATATATATATATTTATGTATATGTATATAAAGTACCTAACAGGTAGGTGGGAAAAGAAAAAGAAAGAATTAAATAATTAAAGTAGCAATGGGTCCAATCTGGGCTAACAAATTAAGTGACAAAAATCCTTGAGAAAGCCATGATTGTAGGGGTAGTATGGAGAAGTAGGGAACAAGTCAAAGTGAAATGAGTTGATATAGATGATCGCGCTTTGTTCACGCAAGGCTAATGAATAAAATAGATGATTCCATTCTTAATCTATTCAAATGAGAGGAATCATAATAGGGTCGCCGTCCCATTTAAGTAATTATAATAAATTATGAAAAAGGTTGTTCATCCAAATATATTTGTGTGAAGCTCTTTGGTCGCTTCCGGAACCTACCTGAATAGTGTACAAAAATATGACATTGGGTTACCGTTTAGTTTGGATTGCATTCAATTTGGAAAGAGGTTAAATTTATAGGATGTTTTTGACGTACGAGAATGATAAGTCGAACACGGGAAAGTATGAAACTGGTTCACGTGAGCATAAACTTGAGAGACCAAAAACTGCATTACTGTTTGATGTCACAAAACAACAATAAAATTAATAATCTTACACTGCATTTTGCCTAAAGTTTGGCCAATGACCATAAATTGCAACGTTACGGTGACAGTGATTGGCCCCCCGGCAACCTGCACCCATAGGGCATAACCTTGAACATATCATAAGTAAATTATTATATTAACTATATTTAAAAACTCAAAAAGCAAAACACAGTGATGACACCTACCTAGTAAGTAGGCGTCATCGATTTTCATTAAAAATAAAAAATAAAATTATAAGAATTGATAGCGCCCCTACATTAGGTATTTCCTATTTACACATGCAACTCTTTCTGAATTAGGGATGAGGATTCATGTGCAGTTCAAATTTGAACCCCAGATGATCTCATTCTCAACCATTGAAAATATATATATTTATAAACTTTATAGCCATAAGATTGAACTGCAGACCATGCAATTAGCATTTTAACTTTGTATAAAATTTATGTTGAAATATTTACTGTGGTTAAATAAAGTCATTGATGTGTGGCCTTTAAGAGACAATAATGGGTGGTAAGATGTTTGTCTTGTAATAAACTCCTGAAAATGCCATGCCACGCTTAATGACAGCCTTAATCAATATGTTGAAGTGGGCCTTTGGGAAGATGTAGTTTGGGCCCACGCGAGTGTTGATGCGTAAGCGTACAAGCATGAGAGGTTGCTGTGCGTTGTGCGAGAGGAGGGTGGCATAGGCAAAGTTTAAGAAAGGGGAGTAAATACAACCGCTTTGAAGATAGGTTTGATCGTCTAGGTGGAGGTCGAGAGCAGGGACGGAACGCCATAATGGACACCACCTTTTGGAGAGACAACTAGTGGCGATGGTGTCACGAGTTGGGAGAAAAGAGAGAATGTGGCACAAGATGCCATCAGGTAAGGCACTGATCCTATCCTCCATTTCCATTTCAAGATTATAATGAGAAAGAAAGGAAAATGGTGATACTAAGAAAGGTATAAATGATTGTTCTTATAGGTTCAATAGTACTTTGTGTAGATATGTTATATAGACAAATTCTTGAGTGCACCATTTAATATATACCTTATAATATGCCGATTCTTTGGTTGACTAATTTATCATGAAATTAATTTGAAACGAATGTAGCAAGTTGTAACCAATTATATTATTTGCATATGTAATTTATTTATTTTTTATAAAATTATGATAACGCCTTTCGAAAGAAAAGAAAAGGCTAAGAAAATGGATTCAAAAGTTTAAGAGTAAGGATGGGAATAGGTTAAGTCTTAAGCAAGGACTTATGACCTAACTTGTTTAAAGTATAGCCTAACCTGACGTATTTATTAAAAATGTTAAGTTTAACCTTTTAAAAAAATCTATTTATTTAAAAAGGCTAAGTTGATGCTTATAAAAAATTCTACTAGACTTGATAGGCCAACCTTACTATATCTTAATACTACTATCCAATATAGTTTTCGATTTTTTCTCGCTTTTTTATAGGTATAATCATGTCATTATACATGTTAAATTCAAATATTTCTTATCTTAATACTACTTATGTATAATTATAATATAACCGAAGTAATTATATATATTATTGTGAATTTTACTTTGTACATAATGTAGTAATAATAATAATTATCAAAGGATATTTTTCATTTTCATAGTTGTTTATTTTGAATATTCTAAATGAGATATGAGAAATATTTAGAAAGTTTTTTGTTGGATAAGATTATATTCTCTCATCACTACTATACGTGAGTTGTCCTTGTTATGTTAGTTTTTTTATTTTTTATTTTAAACTCTAAATTTTAATAATACTAGTAAAATATTTTTTTATCACACAAATTAAAAAAAAAACTTGCATGCGTAATTAAAAATAAATTTGTTGCCTTATTGGAAATTATCGATATTAATATATTTATGAATGTTAATGTAAAATAAGTTTTTAAATAGGCTAATAATAGGTCATACTAGGCTTTTAAAAATATCAATTCAAGCTTAGAAAAAAGTCTACGGTAGATAATAAGTCAACTTTAGACTTAATTTATAGAAAAAGGCTAGCCAGTATATTCAAAACCAAGTTTGCTTTAATCCTATCCTTAGGAAAGAGAAAAAGGAAGTGTGAGTAGTGCATTAGAAAAACCATGTTGGCGGTGATGATGTCGTCCAATGCAACAATAGAGTGAATTGATATTAATGATGAGAAAATTTCAAAAAAGAAAAGAAAATAAAAGAAAAGATAGGAGAAAGGAGTACAGAAGGTGCATAGTGACAAAATAATAGTTCTACACAACCATAAAAGGTTGACAATGGAGGAAAAAGAATGATAAGGAGAAAAAGAGAAGGGGGGGCCAACATCCAAGATTGAAGCGGCCAATGATAGGAAATATTCTATTTTATTTTCTCTATTTTTTTTATCTATTTTTCATTTTTTAATTTTTGTTTTTCGTTCATATATTTAAAAAAAAAAACTTATTCACTTAGATGTAGTTAAAACAATGGCACATGACAATGATCAATAGCAAGGGAGATAAAAAGGAGAGGCAAAAAGAATAGAGACCACTGATCCTTTCTCTTTTTTATTACTTTTCAATTTTTGAATTTTTTCTTTTATTTCCTCCATCATTTTTTTTCTACTTTTTTTTTTTTCATTTGCTAGCTTGGATGTGTGACACCCCTACCCTACATGCATGCATACAATAAAATAAAATAATGATTTTGGAAAATACTTTATACATCAACTAAAACTATGGACAAAAGGTACCACGTTCAAAATCTTATTTCCAAGAACTAAAAACCAAAATAAATAATTACAAAAAAATCATTAAACTTTGCAGAAACATTAAAAATCAAATAAGTTAAAATTTCTATTTCAATAAATAAAAAAAATTTATGCTAAAAACTCTGATGTCACATCCTATTAGACTAATCCCATCAAAAATTTAAACTCCTCCAAAATCAAAGTCACCAACATAAACAATCCAGAGCAAAACACAATGAAACAAGGGAATAAGAACATATCTCACTCCAACTATCGATGTAGGAAATGGTCGAGTAGCCTCTCACATATAAAAATACATAACATAATCATATAATTCATATATCATTAATTAAAAACAATAAATTAATAAGCATTTATTCATATTCTAAAACTTCACACATCATCACATCACAATTCAATGTATAAAACATGTTATGAACATGTAAAGACAAAACTCTCTTAACTACATCCATGTGGGGCCAGTAAATCACTTTATCACTACCCGAAGGTTGAGTAGTCTAGGAGTACATGTCAGGTCAAGCAATCACACACTCTCACTAGAAGAAAATACATCAGTGGCGCATCAAGATAGCTTGTTGACCAAGTTTCACCCATACTCACAACATGGCATGACTAGGGCTCACAAACCTAGTTATCTCCAAAGTCATAAAATCCCCAAGCTTTTATACAAGGAGGACCTTCCCTGATAGTGTATTTCACATCATATCCATCAGACAAAAAATACTTTTATGCAAATGATAAATGTCACACATAGACTCTTATGCACAACCAACAAATTATATTCACATCACATCATATTTCACATCTCACTTCATAACTAAGTCATACTTAGGCTTGTTCACTTGTTTCACTTACACATATCACATGTCTCATAACTTATAAGTTTCTAGATATCATAAACTTTCAATTCTTCTTATACATTATCAATCTTATTGATAGGCAAATCATATACCATTCGTTCACTTCACCTTCCATAGATAACTCACCTCCTCATCCAAAAAACCATGTAGTTCCTTAAGCAAATATATATATATATATATATATATATGATCATGCCTAAATTTTTAAAGAGTATTGATAATTGATTTTGTAATCACATAACTAAAGTTTGACTCTAATTTATCTTTAATATAAGTTGTCTTTATATCTTTGAGTATGTATTACTTAAGACATTTATAAAATTAATTTATAATGTGGCTATTAAGAGTCAACAATGAGAATACTTTTTTTTTCTATTTATGGTATCATCTAGTTAATACTAAATTTTACTAAAAAAATGTTGTAACACCTCAATTTTTCTATTAAAATTATATTTTTGATAATTAACAATTATTGCATTTTTATAATTAATTTGATTGATTTTAATAATTATTTAATTATTTTATGTGAATAGGTACATATATATGTATATGTCTATTAAATAATTGAGAGAAGGATTTAACTAGAGTTAATTGTTTTTAACTATTGGATTAAGAGGGAGTTAGTTTTTAAAAGGGATTCCTGATCAATTTTTTTATTTTACTCTTTTCATGTAGGCTTACTCTTTGATGGTTTTGGAGAATCAAAAATAGTGGGAGATCACCTTTGGAGAACCACGTCCATCTTCTGACACTCATCAAGGTAAGAGAGAAGTGAGTAGTCTCACTCTGGACATGAGTGTGTTGAGTAGTGTGATCAACTCTCAATCCCTTTTTGTTGTATGCTAGGGTTTCTTAATTATATGTCTTTAATTTGTCTTCACTATTGTTCTTTAATGTTCTAATTGATATCGTATAGTTGTTTATATTGTTAATTTTGTGATTTGGTATGAAATTATGTATCTTGGATTGTCCATGGGTTCATGTGATAACCCTAAGGGAATACATTGGTAACTGTATGAGAAGATTACATGAGCACGCAATTAATATGTGTCAAATGTGCATTTTAGAATGTTTAACATGCTTTATGGAACACTTATACTGATTGAATTGTGATTTTTGGTGATTGGTACTTGTAATTCAAAATTCTCATTCATGTAGGGTAAAATATGATAATATTACAATAAATTTTTTTCAATTTTTTGTATTTGCTTGAGCTTACAAATTTAGAGTTAGGGTAAATCATTGTGAGATTTTCACTGCTCCCATAATCTCATTGTCTCCTTGATGGCTTGATCCCACGAGTCACCATCTTTGTTCTATTTGTTGAAGAAGACAAAAATGTAGTCATGCTCAAGCATGTGCTCATAGAGTGACTATAATGACACGATTATCACTCCGGCCATGGAATTACGGGGTACCACTTCACTATCTAAGAAACCTTTTTCTTTATGATATAATTTTTTTTTGCTCAACTCTTCAAATATATTTACCTAACTAATAAGTCTTTTTTTTTTGTTATGACATTTTTCTTGTCTCATTTCATTTATCATTTGTTGTTTTATTGTCTATTATTGGTGCCTCTAGTTCCAACTCTTACCAAATACCAAATATGCTATTTTATTTTTTAAGGCTTTTGTTGTGTGGACTAAGAATTATGAATTGAATTTTGACTTGTTATTGCTTGTGAATTGAACTAAGTATATTGGTTCATTGTTACTTTATAATCCATTGTGGGAATCGTAAATAGAATGAGTAAACTTGTTTAATTTTGTATATTCCAATCATGAATGTTAATTGTATTTTGATAGTATGGAAGATGATTTGGATACATTGAGACTCCAACTAATACAAAGAGACAAAATTTTGTTGTTATTAATCCTTTTATTACTACTATTGATAATAAAAGCAAAGAGTAGTGTTACCAATGACCAAGACAAAGATACTAAAAAGACTAAGAAAAGTAAGCTTAATACTTTTAATGTATGAAATTAATTATTAGGAAAAGATTAGTCTAGTTGATTGGGTGGATATATACAAATTGCAATGGTTGTAAAAAATTGTATACATGTAAAGATATTTCAAGTATGAATCATTTAAGATGTCATATTATTAAATATATTGGATCTCCTAAGTACCAAGATGTTGGAGTCATGTTAGATAACAAAGCTAGTTTGTTGAAGCAGTGAAAACTTGATCCTTAGACTTATAGAGATGCACTTGTTAGGTATATTATCATACATGATTATTATCTATCATATTGTTATTTGAGCATTAAATTATGAACAATACAATATAATTTAAAAAATAGCTAGGTTGGGCTTTCAACTTCAAGGAAAAGAATGACAAACACAATCAACATAATTTATATGCATATATTGCTAGAATAACTTTTGTAATTAACTTTTAGTGATAAGGTATTTCATGATTGCTGTAACAGCCCAATTTTCACTGGGCCAAAAGCCCAATTAAGGTGGTTTAGTAGCTCGGAACGGGCCATTCCAATTTACTAAACAGACCTACTTTTGGTAGCCTAGAACGGGCCGTTCCAAACCATTAAATTTGCCTATGATTCTTAGTTGGGAACGGGCCGTTCCAGATTTTAGAAATGGCCTTTGAACCTTATTGAGAACGGGCCGTTCTGGTTTCAGTTTTTTTATATATGTGTTGGGGTAGTAAGGGTGTCACATTTTATTGCCATTGTTCCTAACAGATATCTCCCTCCAAATGTCAGTGGAAATTGTGGACGACTACAAAGTCTGCCAATTTACGACTAATATTCAAACCAAAAGGATGATTTGTTGTTCTCCTCCGCCTTAAAAGTCAAAACTGAAACCTTCTCGCAAAATCTCTCTATCATTTAATGAGCCTCCCTATAGAACCTCTTTCTAAGCATTACCGAAGCTTATATTGTGAGTTGCGGCTATATGTGGCTAAAAGGAGAAGCAACATTAATACTTCAACAATAGACCTACATTCAGAGGCTTCTAGTTTTGGTTTAACTTCATATCATGAATCTATATTTGGAGAAGTATGATGTTTCAACCATTTAAAATGACATTGTCTATATATATCAATAATTATATTATGTAATATATGTTTCATACATCTATCTATATATATAATTATATATATCAACAATTATATTATACAATATATGTTTCATATATGCATGTTATTTAAAATAAATAAAAAAAGTCTCACATTGTTTAGATAACTCAACTTTTAAATTTTTATATATTAAAGTACTTCTAATACTTTTAAAAGGACAAACAAATGATGTTGGATTTATATACATGAGAATAAATTTTATAAATCCATTATAATTCAAATTTGTCGATGAAAAAATGGAATCCATTTTAAATAAACATTTTTCATTAAATTATATTTAATAAATATCTCATGCGAGGGACACTTCTTTTAAAAATATCATTAAACTCATTAAATTAGTTTACTACATTCATCACCATTTGAAATTGCAATTTAAAAAAAGTAAATGATACATCTTTCTTAATATATGATTTTCTTTTTTTAATATTATTGTATGTTTGGCTTTTCCATATATACTACCGGATAAGTTGTGATTTATAATGTATACATTTTTTTATATATATATAAGAAAAACTATAATAATAATAATAATGTTCAAATTCTGAAATCTTGTATTTATTACTTTAATTGTTTCATCATCACTAAGTCAATTGTAATAATTACTAATGTATACAATTGAGGCTTCCTTCTGGAAAAATCTCATGCTATCCCGTTTGTGGCAGACGTTGAACGTTATTGTTGTGTGGCCTCCTCGAATATTTGGCTTTAAAACGTTGTAAATAGCTCTTAAAAACCTATATAAGTATTTTTATGTCATGCATTTCATCATTTCACACGTACATGTCTACATAGATAAAATACAATTTTAGTTTTTGAATTTTTATCAATTTTATTTTTAATTTTTAAGAATTTTTTTATTAAGAACTAAACATGCATGATTTTAGTTTTTTCAAAATGAGAAAGTTTGGATTTTCATATCTGTAAAAAAAATATTTTTATCCTTTTAAAATTTCTAAACATATATTTAATTTTTCTAAATAATTTTTTATTTTTATAAAATAAGTATACATTGATTTTAGTCATGTAATTTTTTAATATTTTTATTCTTCTAAAACATAAAATTATTATTTTTTATTTTTAATGATAATTTTAAGATATATAAATAATATTTATTTTAAGAATTTATTAAATTTTTTAAAGGTGTCACGCATTAATATTCTATCACTAAGAGTTCTAGATAACATCTAAGATGATCACTACCCTTTTAATGAATAAACAAGTAGTTAAATTTAATTACATAATAATAGTAAAAACTAAAATGATAGTTCTAAATTTTAGAGGATAAAAATGAATAATTTTTTTTATAGAGACTAAAATCATAATTTATTCATTCTGTAAAGACTAAAAATATATTTAAAATTTTTATTAATTTTAATTCATAAATTTTAATTTCGGCATTGATGTCAATTTTTTTATTCTCGAAGAAAAGTTTAAAAGAATAAATAAAATAAATTTATTCAAAAATTAAAAATAAATTGACAAAAAATTAATAAATAAAAATTAAAAATATATTTAATCATACTTACCGCCATATGTAAAATAATAATAATAGTAACGATGCATTCTTCGGTGGTAGAATGTCCATAAAATAAAATTGTCAATCTTTGTAATACACTTTATGATTGCGAACATGCTTCTATAAAGGGAAATTGCGAAGACATATTTGTTCTCTTATTTTCATCAATATCGGTATAGAGAATATCTCTTTTTAGTATTTATTTATTTTTAAATAATTATATTTTTAAACTGTATTTTCTTTTTTATATAATAATAATAATAACTATCTTGTTAAAAAAATAGATAGTTATTATATTTAAAGAAGATACTTATTTTTATATATATTATTTTTTATTTTTAGAAAATATAAATTAATGAAAAAATAAAATATAACATAAGTGTATAATTATTTTTAGAAACATAGATTTAAAAAAGAGTATTTTTATATATTGTTATAAATAATTATCCATTTTTTAAAATAAAAACTTTAATTTATTATATATATATATATTTTATATAAATAAATAATGTTTTTTATTAATATTTATAACATAAATTATTTATCATAAATCTAAAATAAAATTTATATGTTTAAAACTATTTATTGATTATAAAATTTTAATCATAACATAATTTTGTAATAAAAATATTTATTTATTACTATATAAACATGGTAAAATACTGATTAAAAGAAGTTAGATGGAAAGACGAAAAGGGCATTTGGTTAAAAGCGCGACGCGAGAAGAAGAAAAGCGAGGGAAGGGAAAAAGAGAGTGTGTTTGTGTGTTGATTCATAGAAGAAGGTTTTGTGGCAGCGAAGATGGGTAATCCACGGAAATCGAGGACCGGCGACGAGCTTCATACGGCGGCAAGGTCCGGCGATCTCATCGCCGTTCAGTCAATTTTGGCTTCTAATCCTTTGGCCGTTAATTCCAGAGATAAGCATTCCCGAACACCGTATCCTCCTTATTCTCTTTTCCCTTTTAATTTTTATTTCAACGCTACGCAATAGGAACCCTAACAATGAAATTCGTTCAATTTCTTCTTGTTGCTCTACATTACAGTACTCTTATTCCATGGTAAATACTCTTTATTCTTTCTAGTTTTCGCAACATAACAAGTAGCTTCCATTCACGATTACCTTTTGCTGGTTCTTTTGACTATATGATTCATTGCAGTATCTGTTTCATTTCCTTGTACTTGCTTCAACCGTCAGTGGCTACATCATAATCAGCCCTAATTTTCTCAGACAAAAGTTATGAAACGATGTTATCTTATCAGAATTGAAGATTCACGTCGGTGACCTATGTTAATTTTTAATACAAACCTCTATCTTACATGGATTACTGACAGGGAACTCCAATTCTGATCCAAAATTACTTAAGGAAACTGAGTTTGTCTGCAAAAAAGTTTAGAAGAGTTTGTGAGCTTTTCTACTGGAGAAAAAAAAAACTATTTTCGGTGAAAGAACTCTCATAAGCTCTTCTAAGCTTGTATCCAAACAACGTTGTATTCAAATTTTGTCTAATTGTCATGTCATAAGTAACATGTGGGTGAACATGCTATTAGAGAAGGCTTACATGTTTCTGAGAACAGTAATTTTCATGTATGAGAAGGGTGATGCCGCATGTTTAATTTGAACGTATGTTGGTGCAATTGTGTATCCATCCCTAACCATCTGGGAGGTTGAATTTTTCTTCAGATTGTATTCCAGGTAGAAATGGAAATAAGGAGCTAGATTTTATCTGTGGGTGAAGTAGTAATTAAGTTTTTCTTGAGAATTATTTCTAGCATTGCCACCTTGTTTCTTTGACTAGCAACTTTGGACCATAGTCTACATTTAGCTGCATTTTCTGGGCAAGCAGAGATGGTCACTTTTCTCTGCAAGAACAAGGCTGATGTGGGTGCTTCTGCTATGGATGACATGGCTGCAATACACTTTGCTGCACAGAAGGGACATTTAGAAGTTGTTCGTGCTCTACTTTCTGCTGGGGCCTCTCTCAAAGCCTCTACGCGCAAAGGTTTGACGTCATTACACTATGCTGTTCAAGGCTCCCATTTGGAACTCGTCAAGTACTTGGCCAAGAAAGGGGCAAACCTTGGTGCCAGGACAAAGGCAGGAAAGACCCCGTTGGATCTTGCTACCAATGAGGAAATCCGCTCCTTTCTGGAGGAATTTGAAAGCTCAGCTAAGAGTGGAGAATTGGGAAAGAAAGATGAAGATGAAGCTGAAGAATCTGATCCAAAGATATCCAAAGTGGGATCGGAAGATGATTTGA